GCTGCACCAGGGAGCTCCACCATCCTCTGAGTTGCAGACCGCCTAGGAGCAAGTCAAGTGACGAGTTCGCCATCAGGCAGTTCGCCACCAGGGAGTTCACCACCAGGCAGTTCGCCACCAGGCAGCTCGCCACCAGGCAGTTCGCCCCTAGGCAGTTCGCCACCAGGGAGCACCACCAGGCAGTTTGCCATCAGGCAGTTCACCCCCAGGCAGTTTGCCACCAGGCAACTCGCCACCAGGCAGTTCGCCACCAGGCAGTTCGCTACCAGGCAGCTCGCCACTAGGCAGTTCGCCACCAGGGAGTTCACCACCAGGCAGTTCGCCACCAGGCAGTTCGCCACCAAGTAGCTATCCACCAAGGAGTTCGCCACTGGGTAGTTCGCCACCAAGCAGTTCGTCACCAAGCAGTTCTCCCCCAGGGAGTTCGCCACCAAGTAGCTCATCACCAAGGCACGTTACCACCGGGTCAAACAACGAGGTACTTAGCTAAAAAATTTATACATCACAAAAAATGGTGCRTGACAAAAAACGGTTACATCAATAGGCATTTACGCCTTTTTACCACTGACTGACTGACATGAATTAACGCCCATTACTGCTGAATTGTCGCAAATTAAAATTTTAAATATTGAATTATTGTATTTTAAAATTTAGAAATCAAATTATCACTTGAGCCAAAGTACAGGGTACTGACGGTGAATTTTCAGTAATACTTGGCCACATTGATGAATTGATGAGCGCTCATAATCATACCTTACGTATTGCTTGTGTCATCATCTAATGAAACGGACACTCAGTTCCATTCAGTAATAGTAAAAGTGGCCCGTTTCTCTGCAACACTCCACTACAACCCCTTTCTTTCTATTTAAGGCCTTTCCAGTTTCCAGAACCCAGTTGGTCACATTTGCAATCCAGTTGGTTTAATTCGTGCAGGCCGGAGGACAAAAGACAATCGCCATGGAATAATGGTGGTCCAGGCTGTCCAGCTGAGCAGGACTAGACATTCCCCTAACTCACATTTGTTCCTTTGGATTACTTGATTTATTCGGATTCTTTTTTTAAACATTCATGATACAAACTAGCTAAGCTCCAGCTTTGATATCTTTGTCTCAAAGCTTACTTACTCCACCTCAGACCAGACCCGGGTGGACCAGAAATTACACTTTAATAATATTGCATCAGTTCTTCTGTACAGCCGACACATTATATTCATGTCTTGGCTCTTGCTTGCATATAAATACAACATGACACTGTCATCAACCCCGCTGCAGTCAAACCACTGGCCCCGACCGGGCTGTTGCCTGGTCGACCCAACACTACGTACGTAAATGTTGTCGTAACATCTCCACCCAGTGCGACCATCTTCTCAGTGTTCTGCCGCTACGCCTCTCGTCAACATTTTAACATTTACCGCGTCTCAACCATACACACGTACCTGAACTTAATTTGTCTTGCTTCTCGAATTTTGACAAGTTCGCTCATATTCTGCCCTAGCTTTTTTTTTTTTTTTTTGCTGTGATCAATTTTCTGGTTCTCCCCTGCCCAGCTGGCACCAACTTGTTATTGACCAGCTTAGAGTCAGAATGATTCAACTCCACACACAATAATGTTCCTATATTTAGTAGGTTATTATGATTAAGGTAGTGTCTGGATAAGTTTCAGGGTTTGTACTTTCAAAGTCCAAAATCACAAAATCCCAATCTTATAGACTTTGTCCTTTAGGGGTTTATGTTTTTAGAAACAAGCCCCAAAACATCTTCTGACTTATTTTTGTTTCCTACGGACCAAAGCTCAAAACCAAAATCTAAGTCCAAACAGAGCCCAACCCAAGTGTTATCTATTCTTGGAATGGACCATAGAGATGGAGGGAGATAATGAATATACTCTCAATCTCAGACAAATCTAACACCATCTAATATTTCCAAACGGGTAAATGAAGTGGGCCTGGTTAGATGGGCTTTTTATTTTTGTCTTGTTGGATCCATAAACTTTATTATCAAACATGGTTAACGACCTCTCCATCTGGCCCAACTTCAAACCGATAGCACAATCCGACTCCGAGTCTAATCCAGTATTTTCTCCGGTCTCTATCTTTCGTGCACAACCTTCAAGCTACTAATAACATAAGCCGTGCTGCTGTCAGCAATTAGGTTGGGTTCTGAATTTATTTTAAGCTTTTTTCAACAATTAAAACAAGTATCTCAACAAAACAGTTGAGATGTAAATGTTCGGTTCCTCCCTTCTTGCTAACCTTTGTATCCACGTGTCATTTTCAATCGTCAAACAGGTGACACCTGGCAACTGTCCCCATTCTTCTTTATTGAGCCTCTCTACGCCAACCACATTGACATTGTGTCCCAAATTTCTAGTTCAATCCAGCTCCCCGTGAGGATTCATCTTCTTCTAGATCCAACCTTCTAACGTGGCAGAAAAAACAAGTGTCAAAACGTGAAACGAGAGTACAAGACCTTCCATATGGTGCACGTGACAATCCATCAATCTCTCACGTGTGCTTTGAGTTTAACGGGGATAGCATTTTTTACCTTACTTGGTGACTGTTTAGCACTCCCTACCATTGCTAGAAGAATAGATTTTGGGGTGGGAATGGATGTTAGGATTCTATATGGATATAATCCATAGAGTACAAATAGGATATGGTATTATGTTAAATCCGATTTTTACAAATTGTATATTATTAAAAAGCATATAAATTTTATATACTAAATCTTGAATTTAATAATATTTTAACATGATAAAGAATAGATAGTTTATACGTTTTTTAAAAGCCTTAATTAAATAATTAGAATTATTTATTTATTTATATGATAAAAAATAAAAAAAAAATTATATACGAATTCTAAACCCAATCTGCCCGTACCCTTGAATGAGGAAAGAGTAGGGTCAGGGAGGATTTTATATTTTCATATCCGCTATGAATTTTGGGGTAAATACAGATTAAAAGGTTTAGAGAGATGGATAAGATATAAAATTTACAAAACTCTATCCGAATTCGCCCTGTTACCATCCCTATGACCCAACCCATTTTAGTGTGAACTGTGCAATCAGATGCACATTTCACCATTCATCGATTAGTAGTTTATGACCTAAAAATATCTTTTGAATCACCGTAATACCCTCCACATTTCATAGATTTCCAAAAGCGCTGCCAAGTGCCAAATATAGGGTCAGACGTAACAAGGAAATAAAAATTAAAAAGGAAGAAAGAAACAGGTAACAACCACCCCCGAGCTCGAGGACATCAAATACATTGTGATAAAATTAAGTAATCGATAATCCGTTGTGATTAATTAATTAATTAAAAAAAGCCTTCTAGAATTGTTTAAACTCGTAGTTTCTACACGTGCGAAAGTGCTAGTCCGAACTCCGAAGCGGGTTTTATGGTGTACACCTACCGTCTACCGATAATTTCGTGGCACGCGCAATCGCTTCGGCCTCTCTCCTTTTAACCCCGAGTGGCCGAGACCCTTCCCTTCTCTTCAGTCTTCTCTCGAGGACTACGGACTCACGGAAGGACTCTTGTTTCGAGACGCCGTTCCCGTTTTTCTCGCTTTCAGCTATAAAATCAGAACCCAACTCCTCCATCCTCCCTCAGAGCCAAGCTTTTCGTTCGCCGGGAATAAACGAGAACAGCTACTTGAAAGAACAGCGCCGGAGACAAGAGAGGAAGGCAAAAGAGAGTGGGGTTTTGTTCACAGCAATTGCTCCAAATGCAGCAGAGTCTTCAGGGTCCAGTTCTTTCCCTCTCCCCGAGTTTTAACAGTTATTCTTGCAACACATTTGCAGAGATCGCCGCTAAAGTTGGCGAAGAATTCAGCGAACAATCAAAGCTTTATGTCTCGGATAAATCAATGGAAAAGCCACCGCCTCTACAGAGCTCAGAATATCAATCTAAAGAAGTGCAGGAGCAAGAACAAATAGAAGGCGACAACGACGACAAAGACGATGAGGATGAGTTCGAATTCTCCTTTTGTAGGGATAACGACGAGTCTCCTATCTCAGCTGACGAGATCTTTTTCAACGGTCAGATCCGGCCCATCTTTCCCATCTTCAACCGGGATCTTCTTTTCTCTGACGGCCAGGACGATGATTCCAAGGCCCCGGAGGTTTCGTCCGTTCGGCTTCCTTTGAGAAAGCTGTTGATCGAAGAACGCAACCCGCCGTCTTCGTCTTCTTCGGAAGCCGACGAACTCGATGGAATACCTCCTGGAACTTACTGCGTTTGGGCACCGAAGTCGGTTCAAGCGTCTCCCGAGAGATGTAAGAAGAGCAATTCCACTGGATCATCCAAGCGCTGGAGGTTCAGGGACCTCCTGCATCGAAGTAACAGCGATGGGAAGGATACCTTCGTTTTCTTAACTCCTTCCAACAGCAACTCATCGTCTTCCAAGGCGAAGAAGAGAGACGAGAAGCCTGAGAATTCTAAAGGGAGGAGAAACTCCACCAACCTCAAGGTCTCCGGAAAAACGAAAGGTAAGGGAATCTCTGGCGAGGCAGCGTCGGCTCATGAGATTCATTACGTGAGAAATCGAGCATTGAAAGAGGAGGATCGGCGGAAATCGTATCTTCCGTACAGGCAGGACCTCGTTGGATTCTTCGCTAACGTGAACGTGTTGAGCAGAACTCTTCAGCCATTCTAATCTCTTCCTCCTTTTAACCTCGCCTCGACTCACGCCTCACGCCTCACGCCTCAATATCCATTACCGTAACGATATAAGGTCCATAACTTTCCGGTTTTCTTTTCTCCCCCCTCCTATTTTATTTCTGTAAGTAAAATTACTTAGGAGTGGACGGAAACCTGATCAGGTATTCAGGTGTTCCTCTTTCGGAGTCTTGTATTGACTGTACATTTTAGTAATTTCAAGCTAAAATTTTGTTTTTCTTTTCTTTTTTACTTCCGCCGGCAATCTGGATTTGAACTCAGATGGTTGTTGGAAAAAGAAAATATATTGCTTGATAAATTAGGAAGCAAAATGTGTGAAGCTGTAAAAAATGGAATGGAATGCTTTGTAAATTGTGTATTGTTTAGTGTTTCCTCTTGAGCAGGGATAAGTTCTCTGATTCTCTCAAATCTCAAGCTGTGAATTGTGTTTAGGTTCCGTTTTCCTGTTTGGCATCGATGCTAAGTAATTTTTTTTATTTGGAATCATTACTGTTAGATAGGACGTTTCTCCTAATATCAATTTTTTTGTTTGGTATCAATTCTCCGATTAAGGTTTTCTGCACTTCTACTTATTATGATACTGCTAATATTAATACTTCGAACTTTGGCTATGCCTTCTTATTTTTAAGACTTAATTTAAAACATCTATTTTTTTTTTTTTTTTTTTATAAAAAACACGGTTCCAAATATATGATTATTTTCTGGAGCACTGTTTTTCCTACGTTGCGCTGATGTTGTACTCCAACAGAAATGATGTCAAACAGACGCTAAAAATTCCAATCCAATGTTTTCTAGACTTCACATCCTATGGAAAATATTCCGAAATAACATGATGGTCCCACACGACATGTGATAAGCCCGAACGGACGATCTCTCAATCTCTTTCTTTTTTCTCTTTCGTACCCCCCTTGATAATACGAAATCAAGTGAAGCGATGAATTGTGAGAGGTTCTCTCTTGAAGGTTCCACTTCCACTGACGACCGCTTTATTTGATTTAGCTTTTTTCTTTTTTCTTTTTTTAAAGGGAAAAGTTTTTTGAGTGAGTGTGATTAGTGTTAAAGAAATGGGATTAACTGGTTTAGGTATTTTATTACATTACATCACTTTGATGAGGTGTTTGACTTGGACGATTACAAGTTCCAAATTAAATCAGGCTGTCGTCACGGCGAACGACAAACTCAAAAACTATTCAAGGATTGTTGAAATCTCAGAAATGATTCTAAATGGGGTAACTCCAAGCTTAAGTAACTTGCTGTAAGGCTCAGTTTAGAAAGAGTATAAACTATGAATACCTATAAAATAATACAAACTAAAGGATTATATGTATTTGTATTCCTTCTAAACTGAGCCTATAATAAAAGAAATCGAAAGTCTAGAATTTGAAAATTTCAAGAATTGGAATTCCTTGACCCAATTCCCCAGTCCGATTCCGCCAATCAACCACAACGCATTTTTTTTTTTTTAATTCTTCTGCGGCGGCTCCATAGGTCGTCAATCTTATTTGTATGGCAAACTTCTGTGTATGCATATAGTAAGGAGGAGAGCTTTAGTAGTTTTGGTAAAGTGAAGTGGGCACACGAAGCATTAGATGAGAGTATGAGACTGAGTCACTGTACAAGTGGCAAGCGGGTTAGTGGGTGGGCAGAGATAAAGAGAGAACGAGAAGAGTAGATGATGGTAGGTATTGTATCCTTATCCTAAGAAAAAGTGGTTGAATGACGAATTAGTGCCAGATGGTAGGACATTTAAGATTGCCCTCTCGGATTTGGTTAATGTTCCAAAGGGGTAACCTTTGTTCATTCTTACCTTGTATTTATTGTTTGTGAGTTGTGACTAAGCGCACATGTGAGCCGTTGTTCACAAGTATTATATCAAGGGAAAACAAAAGAGAAAGAAAGAGATTGGCAACCGATTTACAGGGGAATGCGATGTTTTTAAATTAAGCAGTGTTTTGCAGGCAATGGGTTCCATTTTATCTTGAATTCAGTCTTTTGCCAAAACCTGTTTGAATTAGTCAATGATCTATTGATTTGAATGATTAAATTGTTGATCTGTTCAACGGTTTTCGATTATTTTTTATTTTAATTTTTTAATTTAGAATGAACCGTCTATTTGAATTGAACTGTTAACCCGAAAACTGATAGTTAGAATGGTTCTAATACAGGGTCAGTTTTTAAAACCTTGAAATTAAAGGTCTTGAAACGATCACGAATTCAATGTTTAGTGTCATTTCTGTTTTGGTTTGATCCAAAATAAATTGTCATACAACTATTATTGTTGTGCTCATGGCAGAGGGCAATTTGATAACTTCCCTAGATGAGTTAAGACCGGCGTTATACCAAACAGTTACATGTTGGTTAGTAGGGACGGTAATGGATACTCGGTCGGGGATAAGAAATGAAATCCCCATCCTACCTCGATCTCGATTATATATATATATATATATATTTAAAATATTATTTATATTTTAAAATTAACCTTTATTTTAAGTAAATTTAGTTTAAAAAATATTATTAATTAAAAAGTTCTAAAATTTTGGATACCTGCGAAAAACTAATGCCTCTCAAGGATTGGGAATAGAGGATAACGCAAGAATTAAAGTTAGGGATTTCGAAATCGGAGATCCCATATGAGGAATATAATCCTCGCCCCGTTCTCATTTCTAATAATGACCACGCTACTCATCTCATCAACACCTAAAAGGCTCCACTGGTGTAACGGGTCCATGTATGTTGTGGGGCAGAAGAGGCAGTCCAACCTAGGAAGTCATTACTAGGCTTTCCTCCCCTGCCTTTCAATAGCTCCTTCACCTATAAATAGGCCAAGGACAGATGGTACAACTCTCAAGAGTCAGGACTCCCTCTACCTTACCTCCTATTCTTTTTATAAAAACTCTATTATTTTTCACCTTGGCGCTTAACCATCGGAGTGATTGCCCCGAGTCCACACGCCCGAGACATCTAACAACTGTTTCCGGTCTTACTTTCTTTCGTTGCCAGCATCAAAGTCCAATTGTTATAAGCTTCTACCTGAAATGATCATCATATGTAATGTAATAATAAATATCTCTTACTAATTTGGATTGATCAATCCAAAATGTTTCACTAGAAATATCAATGATATCAAACACAACTTAGAAGGTGCAAAACCCTTGAAATATGACTTTCATTAAGAATATTAGTAGGCTATGTTTGGTTTGAAGGAAAATGTAGAAAAACCTTTATAATTTTTGTATTGGTTTTTCTGTCTTTCCTTTCCTTTTCTGACCCCTTTCCTTTAAACCAAACATAGCCGTATTATTCATAAGGTGGACTGGTACAAGTTCATTAATCCCATTCAAATGACTTAGGATTAGACCTGGTAAATAGTTGATCAAATCTGCGAACCTGATCCAACCCAACCCGAAAAAACAGGGTTAGGGTCTCATATTTAGCTACCTGAATTTGAGAATGACCCAACCCGAAAAAACATGGGTTGGGTTGGGTCATGGGTCAATATGCTGACTCGATTGTTATGTCTAATTGGGACTATTCATGTATTCTTAGAAGCTTTATCTCTTTCATCTTTACTATTTAGTCTTTACTTTTTATTTTTTGCTCTTTGAATTGTTGAATGTTCCAATTTTTTTAATTAATGTTTGCAATTTTAAGGTTAATTCTATCAATTTTAACACTTTCCATGTGTTTTTTCTTTATTTTATAAAATTACTGTTATTTTTAAGGATAACCCAAATTGACCCATGAATCAACCCTATCCCAAATATTTAAGATTAGGATCTAGCATCTACCGACTCAACCCAACCAAAAATCAACCCACAGTATCTTGACCCAACTTAAACCCGACCCACCCAACCCAATCGCCAGGTCTACTTAGGATGGATCGATGGAATGTGTTGGGTTGGGCATACTTGGGATGATTTTGGGTTAGATTTGGTTTTCAAACCCGACCAGTTGACATCCCTGAATCCAATACTACTGGTATTTAATTCATCCAAGGCATATTGCATCCATTGCCATGTGACACAGGTGGAATGGGATTGGTGCCATTCATTCCACACGTGTCAGTTTGTATTGTCCTTTTTGCGCTATATCAGTTGGCATGGACCAACTTTTGTTGTGGAGTGATTTATGTTTATTGGTTTCACTCTTTTAGCACATTTTCTCACTTCCAATCTCTCTGCTTTTCATCCCAGTCTTAGATGGTTGTAAGGGAGTTTCAATATACATAAACACTTAAAAGGCCACATTATTAAAAAAAGAAAAAAAAAAGCTCACTAAAATCACGAATATACAAAAATAAATATTGATTTGTTGTTGGATCCCTAATGTTTCTGCTTGTATCAGTAGATCTATGAAATTTATTGTAAAAATGAGAAATCTGAAAATTATAAAATATTATTTTAAATGGTTTTGATGGTAGGAAAGAACTATACGATGGATCTATGAATAATCTCTCAAATACATTGATCCATCAACGACTTATGTCCAAAATTGATTTTTAATTTTTTGATAACTTGGAGAAATAAAAATAGTAAAAATCGAACAATTATTTAGTAATTAAAATTTATGAATTGCAAATGATATGATTAGTTAGTAATTTAATTTGCAATAAATAAATAACAATATATTGATTATTTACAGAAATAAAAATTATTATTTACAGAAGTGACTTAATTTATATTTGCTAATTTTTAAAAAATAAACCAATTGACGAAATGTTTTTGGTGGTTTATGAATATATAAAAAAAATGATTTAAGTAATTAAAATATAATAATTGCTTTTGATTTGGGTCTTGAATTCTTTGATTTACGGATACTATCTAATATATCCTTAGTTTAATTATATAATTCATTGGCAGATATATTATTAATAAAACTATTCTATATTATCAATGTCGCAAACACTTGTTGATTATAATGCATTTCTTCATATAAATTATTAAAATATGCATTTCTTACATGTGTATACTTTGATCTTGGGTTCAGTATTATCAAAGTATTTGTGGGATTTTCTTAATTTATTGTATCCTAAGCCTATTGTGATAAGTGCGGGTCAATAATAAATTCAATGGCCTCAGTTGAGGTTCAACTTTTATCATTGATTCAAGGCATTGATCCCGGACGGTCATTGGCTCGTTGCACTTGCAATTAGTCTTTGGCAACCCTACCCAGCTCCGCTCTATTCGCCATCAATCAAGGGGTATTTTTGYCAATGCATATTAGATAAGGGACAATGGATAAAGCAACAACATTTTCTTCGACCATAGTGCCCCTGTTACATTGTACCTTTTACCGTTAGGCATTGGGATTTTGCAAAATCTCGACAAACAACTGAAACAGAAACCCCTTTAAGTTAAATCTCTTCTTTCTTTTCTTCAAGGCTGTGTGATCGGATAAAGTTGTTTTTTGGAAATTGGAATTGGGTTTGCCA